TGGCAAGGACAAATATATCAATTTGTTTCTGCTTTCTCTGTTTACCCTATTCCCCTTGGTTCCTTTCTAATTTCTTGAATCAGTCATTAATTCTTTCGTTTCTTCTGTTTTTTGAGTTTTTCTTGTTCCATTTATGTCTCTGATTTTTCACCTTTATAAATTAATTACTTTATTCCCCCTGTTCTCCCTATGTTCTGTCTGTATTCTCTCTGTGTTTTCTATGTATCCTTTCAATGTCCTAATTTGCCTCCGTGTCCCCTTTCCTCTGTGTTCTGTTTGTGCTCTCTCGTTGTTTTCTGCATTTTCTCTTTTTTTTGCTTCTTTTGTTTCCTCTGTTCTCTTTTTTCCCTTGGTTGTCTGTGTACTCGATATGTTTCTTATGCATTCTCTGTGCTTTACCTTCTGTTCTCTCTGTTATTTCTGCTCCCTCTTTCCTCTAATTTTTCTTATTCGCTTTGTTTCCTTTATAAATTCATTCATTCAGTCATTCATTCCTTCGTTCCCTCGGGTCTCTGCATTTCCTCTGTTATTTCATTACCCCCCTTAAGTGTCTTCCTAGTAGTCTCCGTGTGTTCTGTCTATTCTTCCTTTTATTTTTGCTCTCCCTGTTGTTCCAATTCTTTTTGTTCGCTTCGTCCACCTGTTTTTTCATATTTATAAATTAATTCCTTTTCTCTCTATGTTCTGTCTGTATCCCCTCTGTCTCTCTATGTGTCCTTTCAGTGTCCTGATTTGTGTCCGAGTTCTCGTTTCTCTTTGCTCTGTTTGTATTCTCTCCTTGTTTTCTCCATTTTTTTCTGTATTCTCACTCTCTTTTCTCTGTATCCTCTCTCTGTCCTCCCAGTTTCCTCTATGTTCTCTATCCTGTTCTCTCTGCTATTTATGCTCCCTCTCTTTTCTGTTTTCTGGTTCCCTTTGCAAATTCATTCATTCAGTCGTTCATTCCTTCGTTATCTCTGTGTTCTGTCTGTATTCTGTCGGTATTCTCACTCTGATCTTTCTATGCCCCCTCGGTGTTTTCTTTGTGTTCTCCCTATGCCCTGTCTATTCTCTCTTTTATTTCTGCTCTCTCTGATTTTCCGGGTTTTCTTGTTCCCTTGGTCGCCTATTTTTTCATCTTTATAAATTTATTTCTTTATTCCTCCTCTTCTCCCTATGTTCTGTCTGTATCTTCCCTCTGTTCTGTATGTATCCTTCCAGTGTCCTAATTTGTGTTCACGTCATCTTTTCTCTTTATTCTGTTTGCGTTCTCTCTTTGGTTTCTCTATTTTCCCCGTTGTTTCTGTTGTATCTGTGTCCTCGCTTTGTCTTTTATGTATTCTCACTCTTCTTTCTTTGTATTCTCTCCGTGTCCTCCATGTTTCCTTTATGTTCTGTATCCTGTTCGATCTGTTATTTCCTATTGTTTCCTTTGCAAATTCATTCGCTCTGTTGTTCATTCTATCGTTCTCTCTGTGTTCTCTCTGTGTCCTATCTATTCTCTCTTTTATTACTGCTCTCTTTGTTTTTCCAGGTCTTCTTGTTCCCTTTGTCCCCCTGCTTTTTCATCTTTATAAGTTCATTCGTTCATTCCGCCTCTTCTCCCTATGTTCTGTCTGTATCCTCTCTGTGTTCTCTATGTACCTATTGAGTGTCCTAATTTGTCTTCGCGTTCTCTTTTCTCTGTGTTCTGTTTGTGCTCTTTTCTTGTTTTCTCCATTTTCCTTTTTTTTTCTTCTGTTTCCTATGTTCCCTTTTTTCCCTTATTCTTTCGGTGTTTTGTCTGTGTCCTCGCTATGTCTCTATGTATTCTCTGTGCTCTCCATGTTTCCTCTGAGTGTTCCGTGCCTTCTCTTTTCTGCTCCCTTTCTTTTCTCTAATTTTTCTAGTTCTCTTTGTTTTCTTTGTAAATTCATTCATTCAGTCATTCATTCCTTCGTTCCCTCGGGTGTCCTTGTGTTTTTCTGCATTCCGTGTGATATTTCTGTGCCCCCCTTGAGTGTTTTCCTAGTGTGGTCTCTGCGTTCTGTCTATTCTGTCTTTTATCTTTACTCTCCCTGTTTTTCCAGTTCTTTTTGTTCCCTTTGTCCAACTGTTTTTTCATATTTATAAATAGTCATTCCTTTTGCCTCTCTTCTCTCTATGTTCTGTCTCTATCCCCCCTGTGTTCTCTATGTGTCCTTTTAGTGTCGCGATTTGTGTCCGAGTTCTCTTTTCCCTTTGTTCGGTTTTTGTTCTCTCTTTGCTTTCTCTATTTTCTCTGTTGGTTCTGTTGTATCTGCTTTTTCTGTTTTGTCTGTGTCCTCGGTATGTCTTTTATGTATTCTTACTCTTCTTTCTATGTATCCTCTCTGTGTCCTCTATGTTTCGTCTATGTTCTGTATCCGGTTCTCTCTATTATTTCCCTTCACTCTCTTTTCGGTTTTTCTGATTCCTTTTGTTCTCCTTGCAAATTCATTCGTTCTGTGATTCATTTTTCCGTTCTATCTGTGTTCTCTCTGTATGCCCTCGGTGTTTCCTTAAAGCTCTCTCTATGTCCTGTCTGTCCTCTCTTTTATTTCTTTTCTCTCTGTTTTTTCGGTCTTCGTGTCCTTTTTGTCCCTCTGTTTTTTCATTTTTATATATTCATTTCTTCATTCCCTCTTTTCTACATTTTGTCTGTATCATCTGTGTTCTCTCTATGTCTTTTCAATGTCTTGATTTGTCTCCACGTCCACGTTTCTGTCTGTTCGGTTTGTGTTCTCTCCTGGTTTTCTCTATTTTCTTCGTTTTTTTTTTGTTGTATCTGCGCCTTTTGTTTACTCTGTTCCCTCTTTTCCCTTGTTCTCTCACTGTTATGTTTCTGTCCTCGCTGTGCCTTTTATGTATTCTCATTCTTTTTTCTCTATATTCTTTCTGTGTCCTCTCTGTTTACTCTATGTTCTTTATTCTGTTCTCCTTTCTTTTGATTTTCTGGTACCCTTTGTTTCCTTTGTAAATTGATTCAGTCGTTCATTCTTTCGTTCCCTTGGTTCTCCCTGTCTTCTCTCTGCATGAGTTTTTCCTTGACAAAATTTTCTGAAGACGTCATCAATGTTTCCGGGGTATAAACAGACATATTTTGATCAAAAATGTACCGTGCCTATGACAGCTTTCAGACGCCTAGAAGATTTCAAAGCAAGGTTTTGCAGTTCCTGATTTAATCAATAAAATAAATTGATTCATTCATTAGTTTCTTAAGTCACCCTGTATAAGCATTTCAAAAAAATATGACTGCAATGGTAAATCGAAAGTACTATATTTTGCACGTGTTCCATAGGAATTATTGGGATTTTTTTTTAGATTACTTCACCAATTTTTTGGGGACGATAAGCGGTAGTTCCGGAGATTATCTATCTAACAAAAATCGACACAGACGGCGGACAGACAGACAAACAGACAGACAGACGGAAACAGGAGATATAGATCAAGAAAATATGAAAGTATACGTCGGGATATTGACACCATGTATTTCCGGGATTTCAATATCTCTATTCATTGTCAACATAAAAGGCCGCGGAGTTTTAACTAGGACACCCTATATATCTAAAAAACTAACAGTAACTTACGTTCGAAATATATATGTGTCTAGTTATTTTAGTATCGTGAACGGATTTTTGCGGTTTTACGACAACGAAATTTTTAATTTTGTTACTGAGTGTTATTGTTAAATTTTAGAAATATCGTGTAGATGCTAAAACGCTACTCAAAATTAGTCTGATCATCCCTAGCAATAATTTGACGACGTAACCTCAAAATTTTGCATACTCAATGCTATTTAAATTTTGTAAAATAACATATTCCTATAACTGTGGTTTATGAAGCAGTCTTGATTTTTTTAACCTAGTTAGCCAGGTTTTCAAAAAATGAAAGAAGAAAATATAAAAGTGTATAACATTGTATCAATTTAATTATTTACCCAGATTTTTCAATTATCAAACATTTTTACGAAAATTGCAATAATTTGACAACGTTGTATGGGCATTTCGAAAATAAATTATGATTATAAAACTTAAGAAGAAATCAGTCAAAATAAATAAGGAGACTCTATTAGAAAAAACTAAATTGTGTGCTACGTCTTACAAATAGAACACCGCGCGGTTAGTGACTCACCCTGTATATCCAAATACCTAGCACCCTTCACATATATTAATTTCCGCATTTTCAACAAATAAAAATATACTTTGCAGAAATGTTGAAATTTCGTCACCGAATTTTGGTAGGTATGGAAAAAAATGTTTAACATAGTGTCATCTGCGCGAAAATTATCAACAGACAGATGGACAGACAAACAGACGGAAAACACAAAAGTATGTTATTTTTACTTAGTATCAGTATCACGAAATAAAACCACGCAAAAATAAAGCTGAAATGTGTACTTATTTCATAAACATATCACTAGCGAATTCTTTTATTTCTTGAAGCCCCAGCCTTCTGTTGGAATTTCTATGAGACTTGTGTGCGTGTGTAAACTAAAAAATGCAACTATACACAGTTGTACAATTTAAAATTTAACTAGACACCGCCGGAATTCCAAACAGTTTGAACTTTTAGTGGCAAAGAAATATCGCTCCTGTCTTGTTTTTATCGCACCAGTACTATAGTCGTTAATTAAAAATTGAGACAGCAATTCCAGAGATATTTCCATGAAGCGCCCTAAAAATGCATCGATAACGTGGCGCAATTTGAACTGCATTCTTCAGTATTTTGAAGCGTATATTTCCCGAACCTCCAACAATTTTCAAGTATCGTTTGTGCTTTAAGAGCTTTACATAAATTCCCACACCGCTCGCAGCTCTCAAAGATCAAGCCTAAATATAACACATTCCCATGAATCTCCTTAAGAGTATCCTACGCAACTCGCGATATTAAAATTGCACGATATTTGATTGCGGCTGAAGTTTTTCACGTACCTCGGCGTAGGTGGCCTTAATGAACTCTTATTTCCCGAGTTTTTATTATGCTCTTTTAACAGGATGTTAAAAATCCGCCTTTTGTTCCAGACATTCCAAAGTTCACGGGTCCCATCCTGAACGTAACAGTTCCGGTAGGCAGAGAAGCAGTCCTCGAGTGCGGTGTCGACAACTTATCAAATTTTAAGGTGAGCAGTAATCTCATGAATTTATCTCGCTAATTTGCTCCAACACCAGACGAAAAACCAGAGTCGGGCGTCCTAATTAAAGAACGGAGTCGAAAAAAAGAGAAGGGCCGAGGCAGTCGTGTCGTAAATTTAAAAAGTGCGCAGAAACATTTCCTTAAATTAAAGTTATTTACCTGCGAAAGTGACGCGAAGCTACACAAGAACCGTTTCAGCGGCGTCAGCTCCCGTTCGCTGAAAGAATGCCGGAAGTGCAGGACTTAAATTTTCGTCTGGAAATGCGTTGAAGCCTGTTACCAGCGAATGTATTTATTGCGAGGCGTTAGAGTAATGGCCCGGTTATTAACTCTTGCCTAATAGATGTTCCCGAAACGGAAGCTCAAATTAACAGTTTATTACAGTTTATTATTCATACAAGAGAAAAGAAATCCAACTGGGGATAGACGCTAATATAACTCTAAGCTGAGGGAATACGCGGATGAAGATTTCCACGAAGCAAAAAATAACGTGGTCGAATTTGCATTTTATACAAATAGCTACTAGTTGACATGTGCATAATTCTGTTGTACACTGAAGTTCTTACACCCTCCGTCCATTAAAAAACTAACGTGAATAATGTTCACACTTTTGGATTTTAATTCCAAAACTAGAACAACCCTGACGCTAAAATAGTTTAAATTAAACTCGTGCTATTTAAATCGTTGATATCAAACAATTAACTAAACATAAACAAGACTCGTAAAGCGGCTACTTTAAAGCGGAAGTAAGTTTAAACTAATACTTTCGTTTTATTGTTGCAAGCATAAAGTAGAGCTTCATAAACGGAAGAATATGAATATTAAAGCTACTTTTCTCGGCATAGAAATCTATAACTTCTTTTGAAAAGCACACGCACGCCTTATGATAACATGCCATCGTGATTTAGGGCATAACTCACTCTCTTCGTCTCTCTCACACTCCCACTCGGGCGCACTTTGTCAACATTTTCAGCTCCAAAATCCATAAGCTCCAGCGTTAATAATCTCAAGTTGCGAATGTTTGATTAGCCTGTGTTTGATCGATTTTTTGTGCTTCTTTGATGATTTTAAGAAGCTTCCTAATTTTGGAGGAAAATTTTAAATAATTATCGGCCACCTACAACCTGTGTGGGACTCAAATCAGAGCGACACAATTAGGAGAATTTCAACAAAAATTGCTCCCTCTAATTGTTTCTCAAGAAATTGAGAAGACAAATATGGTAACAGTAATTTAGCTAGCTAGCTAGTAACCGGTTTACAAATTTTTATTATTTAGTTATGATTTGGAAGAGTGTAAATATTCTGTCAATACAATGAAGGGAATAAATGGTGAACAAAGTGAGTAGGACTGAGATACAAAACAAAAGTAAGTAAAGTAATGAAAGCAATGGAAGTTGATTTCGACGAAGAAACTGAAATACATCAAGTGAGGAAAATAGGAAACTATAATGAAGGAAAATCCAAACCCAAAGATTTTTAACGGTATAAAACATTTAAGGGGATCGAAGATATAGATGGATGAAGACAACCCGAAAAACATTTAAGAAGAAATAGTACAATTAATAAAACATCTAGAAGAAGGAAGAGCGAAGAGGCATTTAGTATACTTAAAATGCAATAAATTGATAATAAATGATGAAGTCTACGAAAGAGAAGAAACATGGCAGGACAAGCAAAGAGCAATTGAAAAAGAGGAAAGGATATAGCCTATAACATCAGACAAAGAAAATAACTAAAATTTGGAAACCAAAAAACAAGTAGAAAAGAAAAGGACACAGACAAGATGATGAAGGAGGCGACGAAAATGAACACGAGTAAGGAGAACGGAAAGAGTAATAAAACTGATAAAGGAATCAGTGACGAATGGTGAATGCCTACATGGAATATAATCAGATTAAATCGAAATGAAATGGAAATAAATGAAAAGATGAACGAAACTGGTTATATTAGCAGTCACAGAAACAAAAAAAAGACGAGAAACAAAGCGAGAAGGACGCCATCTGATGATATAGTGGATTTGAAAAATGGGCACAGTCAGAGGTAGCATCTGTAGTAAGTAGAGAAAATATTAAAAGAGTGGAAATATATGTATATCAGACCGAATCCTGAAGGTAGAACTTGAAAAAGAAAGAAGATTTACAATATCTTGATGGTTTAAGAACCAAATTATTATTTTTAAATTAAAATCCACTACTGACCCGGAACTTTCAGTTCTATTTATCAAAGTGTTGTCAATTCGATAGGCAAAAATGGCATTCTCCTTTTTTCTATAGTAAGTCACAGTAAGACATTTATCTTTATTTTTGGTTTGCAAGGCTCTGAAAAACTCCAAAAAAGTGGTAAAAAGTCTGAACCAAATTTTCGAAAATATTATTCAATAATGAAAAATGACGTTGTGGATCGTATTCTAGTAAATTATTATTAAATTATTAATAACTAATTTTTAATAGTGAATAAGTTTTAAACAGACAGTTCATTAAAACAAAACAGAATTACCAAGTTAATTCTTCAATTTTGACGTTAAATATTTTCATCGTGCATAAACATCATTTTTGCATCACCCTGTATGTAATTGGTAGATAATATAAATCGGAACATAGATCAATTTTCTTAATATATAGGGCGAATCATATTAAACCAAGTCAATAATCAGAATAGACTATATTCCAAAACTATTTTTAACTATACAGAGTGTCCTGTTTTAAAATGTAACACAACTCAGTTTTTTTTTTAAGTAAAACACTAAGTAGAAATACACGCTTTGTCATGGTGTCAATTAAATAAATTTTAGTGTACAGAATGTTTTTAAAAAATTCTAAATTTTTCAGCATTTTTAATCGAAGTGTCTCTTAAAAAAGTTAAATTTTGAAGTAACTATCAACTTCAAATATAGAAAATAGCAATAAAATATGGGACATTCTACTTAAATAAACTGAAATATGGAATCTTGAAAATTGTAATATGTTTTTTTTATTAACTTTGTATAAGAAAATTTAATATGAGTTATACCACAACAAAACGCGTACCTTTATTTATCTCCATAAAATATTTTACTACAGATTTTAAAAATAACCCTAGTGCGAATTTTTGTAAAGCCTAAAAAATTTCAAGTAAATCTGAACAACGTGACAACGTCGCATCGGAATTTCAAAAATAAACTGTGGTTGTAAAGCTTAATGACAAACATGTAAAAATATATAGAGTGCTTCATTTAAAAAAACTATGTTGTGTGTTACGTCTTAGAAACAAAACACTCTCTAAGTAACACCAAGAATTCTAGAAAACTGTTCTGCCATCTAGATCTAAACATCGATCTAGATGTCTAAAACGTTAGAATCCGCATTTAAAATTTCGCAGTAGCCAAGAATCAGCAGTTTGGATATCTTTTTTTTTATAAAATCATCAAGACCCAGATGAAAGCGGTAAACCTATATTTTCGTATTTTATGAGATCTGAAATATTAAAAAAACGCAAAAGAGTGAGATTGTTTCTTCCTTAGGAATAGTTTGGCAAGAAAAATTATATTGTTTATATAATTTTGAAAAAAATGGTTCGTGATTTAATTGGTAAAAATTTGACGTCGAGTAATTGTAAAAAATCAAACTATCAACTACAAGCGGCTCTTCAAAAAATGTTTCTGATGTTTAATGCAAAAAGTATGGGACTCATTTCCAACTTCATTTTTTTCCTCGTAAACGCATTCTTGGCCAAATTCATAATTTCTGTGTCGGATTTTTTTTTAAATCGTAAAAATTGCCATATTTCGATTGGCCCTTCTGGAAAAATGAAGAAACGGAGCCGAAAATGACTTTTAGCCGTCGAAATCTACGAGAAAATGGCTTTAGCTAAGTTTCGAAAATGGTTGAAAAATGATCGAAAATGCCAAAAGTATACTAAACTTAGTTTTATCTTATGAAATACTAGCCCCGCCCACTCTGTTTTCTTAAAGGACATGTCATTTGCCAAAATTGGTCTTATTTTAGCTAGTACTAGCCCAATAGTTGAGTTAATTTTTAAATATAAGTAATTTAAGGTCGTCTGCAAAAATAATTTCTGACATTAGATGACGTCTCCAAGATCATCTATAAAAGGCAAGAAAAGCAAGAGGCCGAGGTTAGAACCTTGTGGAACACCAGAGCTTGATAATATTCGATTTGTAATTGCGATATTTAACATATTGTTCACGATTAAGTAAGTATGATTGAAAAAGTTTTAAAAGTCCTTCTGAAAAACCAAATCTTTTTAATTTTTCGAGTACTATAAAGTGATCAATTTTTTTGAAATGGTTTCTGAGAGTCAAAATAAATAGTATCAACATGCTGACGATTATCAATTCCTTTTGAAGTAAACTGTGTAAACCAGGCTAGGTTTGAAATGGTGGAACTTTCTCCATAAATTCATGTTGGTGAGAAGACAAAAACATTTTAATTGAGGAACAGATGTGTTTATAAATTACTGATTCAAAAACTTTGGAAAAATTGTAAAGAAGGGAGATAGGTCTATAATTCTTGATTTCGGGTACATCCCCTTTTTTGAATACTGGACAGACAGTTGCTTTTTTCCAGATATTTGGGAAAGTGGAAGAATTTAATATTTTATGAAATAACCGGAAGCAAGGATCTACAAAAATATACGCAATCACGTAAAAGAAAATTTGGAATACCATCAGGTCTGATTATGAACGAATGTTTACAACTTTTTAAACCAGATAAAATTTCTTTTTGTGGAATATTATTAATATTCACTAATAGGGATGCATTGATTTCATAATTGTTGGTAGACTTTATACTCGTAGACTTCATTAAAATAATTTGCGAAACCTTCCACACTTGTATCCGGAGCGTTAAATTCTTCATTATTATATTTGCCCTTTTTTGTTGTTAACATACTCCCAAAAAATTTTTGCATCTACATATATGCCGTTTATTCTCGATATTTGATATATAGTTTTTGTGTGCATTCTTAATCGTCCTTTTTCGATGAGAT